GACAACTTCTTTCGAATTCTGTCCTTCAGATAGGTAAACAATTCTTTTTTGGACCTGCCCACCTGAGTCACCAACCCCAAATACTTGTCGTGCTTCTCAACTATCTTCATACCAAGAATCGAGCTAACTTGGAGACGTTGGTGCAGCTTCACGTTCGGACTAAACGTCACCTCCGACTTTTCCAGACTAACCAACTGCCCTGACTCCTTCTCGTAGTCTTGTAGGATTCGACGTAACTCCAGGCCTTCTCGTTCTGTAGCCCTAGTAAAAAAGAGAGAGTCGTCAGCGAAAAAGAGGTGAGACACCACCGGAGCACCCCCAGCAACAGAGATGCCATGGATCTTGCTCTATTTTCTTGCTTTCGCAACGTACGCAGACAGCCCCTCCGCCACAAGTAGAAACAAGTAGGGCGAGAGAGGGTCTCATTGGCGGAGTCCTCTACTAGGCGAGAAGACCTCCGATCGGTGACCATTAACAAGGACTGCATAAGTTACCGATTTTACACACATCATCATCAATTGAATCCACCGTTCCGCAAATCCCATTCTTCTCATACTCTCTTCTAGGAACCACCATTCTACCCGGTCATATGCTTTCGCCATATCAGTTTTCACCGCCATATATCCTGTTTTTGCCTTGGTCTTCTTTTTCATTGAATGAAAACATTCAAAAGCAGAAATAACATTATCGACTATGTATCGTCCTGGTACGAAGGCACTCTGTTCCTGTGAAACCACCGCATCAAGCACGTGCTTTAAACGATTCGCCAGGGCTTTTGATAATATCTTATACAAGACATTACAAAGACTAATCGGGCAAAAGTTTTTTGCCATCTGAGGGTCCTTTATCTTCGGTATCAGTGCTATAAGAGTATGGTTCAATCCCTCCGGTATAGTCCCTGATTCAAATATGTGGATCAACAAAGCCGTCACCTCATCGCCAATGATGTGCCAGTACTTCACATAGAACAAAACCGACAAACCATCTTCTCCCGGTGCCTTGCGCTTACCCATCTGGCGTAGCGCATAAAACAACTCTTCCCTCGTAAGAGGCTTGGTAAGCATGTCATTATCCTCCCCAGTAACACGTGGAGAAATGGAGTCTAGAACTGGGGTTAAGTCCGGTCGAGCTCCTGCCATGAAAAGGTGTCGGAAGTACGACACCAAACAGTTCGAGACCTGTTCATTCCCTCTCCACCATCGGCCCATTTCATCTATAAGCTTTTTTATTGTGTTACGCTTCCTCCGTGCCGTAGCCTTTTTATGGAAATAATTAGTATTCTTATCTCCCTCTCGGAGCCAATCTGCTTGTGATCTCTGCTTCCAGAACTCTTCTTCATCACATTCCAAGTCCTCCAATTCTTTCTGCAGCCTTGCCCTTTGGTTGATAGTCGTTTCCGTTTTCTCCTTCCAATCCAGGGCTCTAAGAGCTCTTGAATTTTCCTTTTCTGCCTACCAAAGTTGGGAAAGGCAGCCTTACTCCAGCTGTCCAGTTGACTGCGAGCCCTTTGAAATTTAGCAAGAACATCGCCTGGCTCCGCATTCCAAGCTTCCTCTACCTGCCGTACACAATTCTCATGCTTCGCCCACAAAGGTTCGAACCGGAAAGACCATCCCCACTTCACTTCTTCATCTTCCTCCCCCATCGTGTCACAGATGACTGGGCGATGGTCCGATCGGTCCTTTTCCAAATGGGTTACACGCACACTCACCCAATTCTCCTTCCAGCTGTCATTGGCTACAAAACGATCAAGTCTCTCCTCTATGTACCCGCCAGCTCGCCGCCTATTCTCCCACGTAAATGGATATCCCTGGAAACCCATATCAATAAGACCCGTATCCCCAAGGCAATCCTTGAAAGCTGTCATCTCCGCCTCTGCCACCAAACCTCCTCCTTTCTTCTCTTCATCCGACATTATGAGATTGAAATCACCCCTGCAAAGCCACCGTCCCGACCACTGTGCTGACAGAGATCTCAAGAGGTCCCTCACTTTGTATTTCTCTGCACCTTCCGGCCAGCCGTATATTCCCGTAAATCTCCAACTATCCCCCTCTGCTTCTTCCACTTTCGCATCCATGAAATAAGAGGTACTATCCATCAGAGATAAATTAACTTCTTCCATCCACCACAAACATAAACCACCCCCTCGACCACCACGTGACACATCACATGGATAGCTCTCACCATTTGGGAAACCCAGTTGTTTCCTTGTTTCAACATTCTCGTCTTGTAACTGTCGCGTTTCCATAAGAAACACAACTTGTGGGGATATTCGTCGTACTAACGACGTCAGAGCTCGAACTGCGCGTGAGCTCCCCAACCCACGGCAGTTATAACTGAGAATCCTCATTTAACGACCGAAGGGGATCTGTTCCCCGCACCCTCAGCAATTTTGGTTTGGTTCGGCACCTTTAAACCTATCCCTTTGTTTTTGCCTGGTTATCTTCCACTCGATCTCTTGGTTTTTGTTTCCCATCAGTGCTACGTTCCGGAGATGGCACATAATTATCCTTTGCCGGGCCAGCTCCTTTCACCGTCAGGTTAACTTTCCCGCCATTGCTAGCCTTCCCAACCATTATATCTCCCTTCCTTCCACGATCATTCCCACCTTCCTTCCCCCTAGCACCCTTTGATTGTCCACTCGTAGCAGCCCCTTTTATATTGTTCCCATGCATTTCTGCATGTACTTTTGCACGTGTAGTGGCCTCATCTTTCTTTACCTGGCTCGCCTGTTCCGTAACCTCAACCGGATGTGTGGGCAGAGTCTCTTCCTTCTCCTCCACGCCCTCCTCCCGTCCTTCCATAGTAGACAAACCATCAAACCTATTATGATTCATATTAGGAGACCCTCCCTGCTTTTCACCATGATCCCGACGAGCTGGTCGGCGGTCTCTCTTTTTGGCCACCATCCATTCTCCATAAGTTTGACCATGGGTAGGGTCCTCCATAATCACAATTGGTTCAGCCTCACCGCCCTCCGCATCCATGCTCTCGTCCTTCGTACATTTACAGTTCGCCGCCGACTTCCCGTAAGTACCGCAATTGGTACAAATGTTTTCGAGGCCCTCGTATTGAATCAGGTAGGTTACCCCTTCAACCTTATACTGGGATAGTAGAGGTGTTGTTAAATCCACTTCCACGCACACCCTAGCAAATTTGCCCCGAGCTCCCAGTTCCGTTGCCCTATCAACTCGTACTGGCTTCACCGCTTCCTTATTTATAAACTCAATTGGGAGCTCCGGTAATTGCACCCAGACCATGGTAGACGTCACCACTGATTTCCATGGGTTAAAACCTTTGAACCACCGATGAACAGTCAGATAAGTATCTCCTAGCATCCAAGGTCCACCCATAGTTGCAAAATCATAGTCCTTCTGGCTACGAAATTTAACAAAAAAAACATCCATTCTTCATGTCAGATATCTGTATTTCTCCGTATCTTGCCCACATCGCATTCAGACGACGAGATAGAGGTATGAACGATACTCGACGTCCAAGTCCTTTCACCACCAGAGCTGATCTCCATTCTCGGCGCCAACGTATCTTTTCTGCTGCCGTAAACAAAATAGGAGGGCACTTTGGGTCGTAATTTTCTTCATCAAGAATATCGTCTTCTTCCTTTTCCGCCAGGGCTACATCCTCCGAATCAGAATCGGCCATGTACCAGTTATCTTGCTGCACAACATCCGCAAAACGACGTCCCGGGTCGTTCGCCCACGTCGGCGCCGTACGCGTATCCTTAGTATCAGTCTCCATCGTCTCCGGTTCTTCCTCCATATCCTTATCAGTCGGATCTAGGTCAAGAGGTTGGACCTTCTTTTTTGCTTGGACCGTCTCTTTTGCGCTCTTCCCATCTGGGGAGGATGAGCCTTCAGCAGGACGCCGGACCCCACCAGTATCCGGGGGCTTATTATTCCTTACCGGCGTTGCCGACGGCGTAGAACGCTCACTTTTCGCCTTCCGAAAAAACGGAGCCAACTCTCTTTCGATCACGTGTGACCCTGAATTGGATTAGGTTTAGACCCACATGGAGAAGTATTATAAATACTTCTCATACTCCTCTGTAATCTGTAATATCCTCGATATAGTGAAACTGGCTCTCTCTCGCCCGTGGACTAGCTAACACACATCGTGTTAGTGAACCACGTAAATCGTGTGTCGTGTTTTCGATTCTCGCTTTCGTATTCTTGATTTGTCGATTCCAGCAATTTCCTGATCCGTAGCAGCGCGTTTATAACAAATGGTATCAGAGTCTGGTTCGGGGCGGTGGACGTCAGTTTGGTGGACCCTCGTTTGTTGGCCTCGGGATTTGCGATCCGGGTCTGTTTGGCAGATCAAAGAGAGTTCTGCGTCTGGGCTGTTTGGTGGATCCAGGAGATATCCACGTCTGTTTGGCAGATCAAAGAGAGTTCTGTATTTGGTAAAGTCCTTGTACCGAGAAGCCCATCGATACAAGGCGTCTGGCAGATCAAGATAATCGTTGAGGTGAGGACACGAAGTTCGTAGTCCTTGTCTTGACTCTTGAGGGAAGGATTTTTTATGGGACAATCCAAGTAACACATCGGAAATACAAGGGAAAGACCCTTGTATATTAGTGTCCACCTAACCCAATTAGTACGAGACCTTATGGGGAGGACACCCAAAAATAAATCCGTGCGGGCTTGACCCAAAGCGAACAATATCGTACTAATTGAGCTCTCCGATTATGACAAAAACACTGTTATTGTGCTATTGTCTTTTCTAGAGTTAGAGTCTTTCGACTTTACTGGGTGATTTCGCTAGGGTGTCGCTTGTAGGGTGTTTATGCAATTGTACTTAATAATCTCAGGCAGTACTTATTTTACGACAATAAACGCAGAGAACCGAAGGTAGCTAGGTGGGCATATTCACCTCTAGGGACAGATCCACATGTTCAACCTAAGTTTAAGACAGAAACAGTGCATCGCCAACAAAATACAAGCCCATACAGTAATTGGGCTACGCTTAGCCCACGTTGATATCTATTCTGTTAAGTCACTGGGCTGGGCTGTAAAGATGGACACGTCCATCTTCACCGGATCCTCGGAAGAGACCAGCTGGAAGAGGCACACATCTCCCTCTCCCAAACTGTTGTCTTCCATGAACCTTCCCCATCCTTTCCCCATAAACACCTCTTCCCTTAACGCGCTCCTTGCCAAGTCCACGCGCCACTGCTCACCTGCCTTTTCACCATTGCACACCACCAGAATCCCACTCCTTTTGCATCCTCTCTCAATCTTATGCTCTCTCCCAAACCAAGTTGGTATTGTCTGCACCCCACAAAATTAACTAAAAACATCATGTTTGTGCCGATCTAGATATGTCGATTTCTTTTTTTATATATACAAAAAGCGACTAATACTCACGGTCCTGGTGCTCCCACGTATCTGATTAGAGGTCAGCACGGCTATGAAGCAAGGACGGTCTTCGGGCTTGCATGCAATTGCTTCCTCGATCCCCTTCTTGCACTTTCTGTAAACCTTGGGTAACATGAGGTGGAACCGCCCTCTCGTCGCAATCCCGCTTGCTTCGAGACACTCCAGCGTTTTCTCCATCTCAGCTGCATTCCCCAAATAAATCAATTCCCAACTAATCAATTATTAATTACTTCTGTAAAACCCCACCTGCATGCAAATGAAGATCACAAATGGCTTACGGGTCATGATGAGATCGGAGGGTTGCCGCCTTCTGGGTCGGAGCTTGTTTCTTGTGATGGGTTCGCAATCTCCTTCATCTTCTTCGTCGGAGGAGGAAATGACGATGCAATGAGGGGAACCCGTCTGTTCCTCATCGAGCTGCTCGGACTTCGGATACTCGATTGAGCAAGTGGTGAAGTCGAAGATGCTGACGGCGAAGGCAGATCGGCCCAGCTGGTACTCAAACACCACAAAGAATCCTGCGAAAATGGAGTGGTGCGCCACAAACTCACCCCAACCGTCTCCCAACCAGATCTCCTCTTTGTCGTCGCTCGTCGCCTTCTCCACGCCGACGTTCCACACCTGGCCGTTTGGTAAGGTAAGTGCAGCCGTCGACGAGAGTTCGGACCCGTGCATTTTGACGAACTTCAGGGGCAGCTTCTGCGAAATTGGCAAGAGCAAGCAAGTGTGATCACGATTCTTTACACTGATGTTTGAAGAAGTGCTGAGAAGGGCTTGGGAAGTTACCAGCTTCTTTTTCTCGAGCATGGAAGGAAGGATGACTCTGAAGAAGCTTGGAAGTGGTGCGTCCATTGGAAAAGGCGGAGATCTTTGCTACATGCAAATATTGCAAATTGCAAAGTGCCACTTCCAGGGCCAGCCATTTTACAGGCTAGTAAGTGTATGAGTCTGTCTGACGTACTTTTAATAAGACCGCCCAGGCAACCAGTATTTTCAGGCCACGTGTTTATAGACTCTTGGGAATGCGCAGTGAGAGTGACTTTTTCGAGCCGGGCCCGTAAGCCTCGGCCTATAACACCGGCCCAACAGAAGTACTCCAGGCGCTGCCAGGCCCAGCCAACAAAAACCGGTAAAAAGTTAAAAGTTAAAAATCCCACCGCGCCTTTCCTTCCCGCGTCAAAAGGGTAAAAATCAATGCTCCCAAGTCCCAAGGGCTAAAGATTGGAAAATGGAGCCAAAAACCCCAAAAGAGCGCCAACTTTCTCCCCCCGAAAAATAATTTTCGCGCGGATTTCATAAGCTATAAAAATCCCTAAACTAGAAAATCCATCTCTTCTTCACTTCCTCTGTGTATTCCTCTCAACCCAAAATACAGAGAGCCCATTGCCTTGCTCCGCTATCCGGACAATGGCGACAATGGAGTTTACAATCGCACCAGACGAAGACCCCGCCGACAAGATCTACAAAGGATTTTTCCGAGACATTTCCGACTCCCGTCTCGAGGAAGCCCTAGAGCATTCCGGTTACAAATACGACGGAGCCGCCCATTACATCCTCGACAATTTCGTCGCCGTCCGTCGAACTGTTGTGGGCAACAGAGTCCAAATCCATGCGCAGCTCAAGGAGGAAGATCGACGAGAAAAGCCAGACCAGAAGACGGAGAGCGAAGCAGCGGAAGGGAAGCCTTTTGATTCCGCTGATCCGAACGCCGTTGTGAAGGAAGAGCAGCGGGAACAATCCGATAAGAAACCCTTTGTTCTACCAATTGCAGCGGTTCCTTTATCAGTAGTGCCAGCAGAGCAACTTCCAATGCAACCGAAAGAGGAGCTCGAAGCCGCTGAGATTTTAGCAGGAGGCATGCGGACCGTGAAAGACGAGCCTATCGAGACCGAGATGGTGTCAGCAAAAGTCATGACTCCTGAAGCGCCGGCGACGGCTGAAGAGAAGCCATTTGGGGCAGAGGCGGTGGCAAAAGCAGAGGACCCTGTTGAGGCAGAGACGGCGATAAAAGCAGAGGAGCCTGCACATATGGAGGCAGAAAAGACGGCGTCGAAAGATGACGCAGCCGGAGCGGCAGATACGGCGAAGGAGAAAACACAGCCGAGCGCACCAAAGATCCCGGAAAAACCGGTGCAGAGGATAATCGACGGCCTTGTGGTGGAAGACGGGGAGTTCCCAGAAGAGCGGGGTTACTATCTGGTGGGTAGAACGATGGTGACCGCCGTTTCGACCTCGAGAGGCAGGAAATTGGCTGATAACGAGATCGTCTATTTCAACTACTCCAAGTCGAGTTCTAAATCCAACGCCCAATGGATCGTCCGCTTCTCAACCAAACGTTGCGGAGAGGTGGGCTTCAATCAATTTGCTAATATACTAGTCCCTTTCTTTGAATGTCTAGTGATTTTGCTGATAAATGCCAAGATGAAATGATAGGTTGGTAGGCTTCCAATGGAATGGGGGAAAACCGTTGTTCCGCTTATGAGCTCTCCTAAGGTTAAAGTCCTCGGTAGATGCGTTGCCGCACCGGCGACTCTTCAAATGATGCAAGAGGTCTTCTTATATGTGAGGTAAAAGGGCGTCAAAAGGGATTTGTTTGGCTTCATGGCTATTTCCTTTACTGTTTGTTCTAGCTCAAGCTTTTGTTTTGTCGATTTGCAGTTTTTATATACACCGATCAATGTTTATAACGTTGGATAGCTCGACGTGGACCTTGGAATCAAACACGTACATTGATCCTTCACTTTACCCTCTCCTTAGCCTGTTTAAGCTGCTGGAACTTAAGCCATATCAAAAGGTAGCTCTTTACTTCTTTTTGGTAGGAGGGTTAAGAACTTTTGATTGAATGATGCAAAGCATCTGACTTTTGTGGTGACCCTTTTTCCCCTGGTGTGTTCTAATTAGGCGGAGTTCACTCCATCAGAGCTTCACTCAAGAAAACGTGGTTTGAAGCTTGAGGTAATTCATTGTTCTGCTAATGTGCCATGAGATTCATAGTAATGGAGTAATTGAAGGATGGTTTTTGGTGCATTCAGGATGATGCAGACGATTCAGTTACAGCGTTACAGCTTGTGAAGAAGAGAAAAGGCGGAGGAGTTCAGATTCCTGAACAAGAGAAGGATGAACAAGCCTTTTCCGAGTCGATGTTGAATAAGATTGTTGGTACTGCTGAAGTTTATGATCTAATGGTATAGTGTTGGTTGAGCTTTTTTGTGCCTGTCTTGGTTTATGATCTAAGAGGGAAATGTATGTGTGGTAACTTAGACCATTTGTTAATTTTGTAGGAAATGGAGGCGCCATGCACTTTAACCTGCCATTTAAAGCCATACCAGAAACAGGCTCTTCGATGGATGTGTGAATCAGAAGAGGGGATGGATGATGAGAAAGCATCCAAATTGCTTCATCCGTGCTGGGCTGCGTATAATATATCTGATGAGTAAGTTGTATCTTCTGTTTTTTCTTTAAAACTGATATGTAGCTGTGATTTCTAATAAATCATGTGTTATTCTGCAGAAGGGCAGCCTCTATTTACGTGAATATTTTCTCTGGAGAAGCCACCTTTCAATTTCCAGCGGCAACTCAGATAACAAGAGGAGGGGTAAGTTTTAATGTTGTACATTTCCATACGTCCCTGGAACTTGTGGCGATTTCCCATGGTTTGATTGCTTATCATCTATACTTGTATGTTCTGTTTCTTCTTCTGTTTGGGTAGATTTTGGCAGATGCAATGGGTCTCGGAAAGACTGTAATGACGATTGCTCTATTACTTGCAAGACCAGGCAGAGGAAGTGTTGTTGGTAGGCCTCGTGGTGGGACTCTTATTATTTGTCCCATGGCATTGCTTCACCAGTGGAAAGTAAGTTCTCAGTTGCAATGAAACCCTTTTACCATTCAATAACAAAAGAGAAATCAAGCCTCTACAATTCTCTGGTGGTCAATTGTTGTTCTGTGTTCTTTATCACTAATGCCCTGCTTGTCGATTTGATTCTTATGACTTGGGTCAGGATGAGCTCGAGACACATGCAAAGCCGGGAAGTATGTCTGTTTTTGTTCATTATGGCGGCGAGAGAATGAACGATCCAAGGCTCATTTCTGGATATGATGTGATATTGACAACTTATGGTGTCCTAACGGCAGCTTATAAACAAGTAAGCACTTTGCTGTATAAAATATGATAATTTTGCTCAGAATCTGCGGATTTCTGACACATGCTTTACTGCAATTCAGGGTGTGGGGGCAAGTATTTTTCATAAGGTGGAGTGGTTTAGGGTTGTGTTGGATGAGGCTCACATCATCAAGTCCCAAAAATCACAAGGTGCTCAAGCTTCCTTCCTGTTGTCTTCGCAATACCGCTGGTGTCTCACAGGGACACCTCTTCAGGTATACAGGCTACCACCTCTTTTATATTACTCCATTGATTTGCACTAATGGTCATGTAATATTTGGTTTTGTATGTGATTCTACAAACTAAGATACGGGTTCGTTAATTTGCTGCAGAACAACTTGGAAGATATCTACAGCCTTTTATGCTTTCTGCACGTTGAACCTTGGTCCAACTGGTCATGGTATGATTATCTGATTCCTAATTGATTATTAGTTCTTGATACTTAAAACCCACTCTTTTACTTGTACTTGTAATCAAGTCCTAAATATGAGTTTTATGTAGGTGGAACAAATTGATCCACAAACCTTATGAGAATGGAGATCCAAGAGCCCTTAAACTTATCAAGGCCATCCTGAGACCACTGATGCTGAGGAGAACCAAGGAAACCAAAGACAATTATGGAAGGTGATATCCCGTTGGTGCTGAACCTTCTCTTTAAGCTTTTCTTTTGTTGCCTTGCCATAATCTCGATTACTGAAATTTGAAATCTTTGTACCTTTTATTGCAGACCGATTCTGGTTCTTCCACCAACTGAAATTCAAGTGCTCACATGTGAGCAATCAGAAGCTGAACGTGACCTCTATGAAGCCCTTTTCAGGAGATCAAAAGTAAGCATATGGTAGCTGTTAGTACAAAAGTCATATTTTCAAATAATGGAGCTTGTTTGACTTAGATGAGTAATGAATTATATTCTTACAGGAACAATTTGACAGCTTAGTGGCACAAGGCCAAGTTCTTCACAAGTATGCCTCTGTCCTTGAGCTACTACTTCGTTTGAGGCAGTGTTGCAACCATCCTTTTCTTGTCATGAGGTGACTAAAGAAATTTCGTTCAGAAACCAGTCATATGCTAGTTCATGATAACTTAAAATAAACCTCCTGATTCCTGTGTTTCATTCCATTTTATGCAGTCGAGCTGATTTACAAAAGTACTGGGACTTGAACAAGCTTGCCAAACGATTCTTTGAAACAAATGATGATTATGTTGCCTCTACGGAGACAACAGCTGCCACTCAAGCCAACGGCAAAGAAGCTGTTGAAGGAAGCCAAAAAGGAGAACACACTGAATGTCCCATCTGCTTGGAGTCAGCAGACGACCCAGTTCTAACTCCATGCAAGCATAGAATGTGCAGAGAATGTCTCCTCACCAGCTGGACAACAAATACAGAAGGGCCATGCCCACTGTGTCGAACTTTAGTGAGCGAATACCAGCTACGAACATGTCCATCTGGGACCAAGTTCAAGATCGATATTCACAAGAACTGGAAAGGTTCGTCCAAGATCACTAAGCTACTGGATTGCTTGGAAAGAATTGATGCTTATTATTCTGGGGAGAAGAGTATTATTTTTAGCCAGTGGACTTCCTTCTTGGATCTCTTGGAAATCCCACTGAGGGAGAAGGGGGTTGAGTTCTTGAGGTTTGATGGGACATTGTCTCAGAAGCACAGGGAGAGAGTCTTGAAGGAGTTCAACGAGAGCAGTGTGAAAAGGGTAAGCAAGCAGCTGCTGAAACCACCTTGGTTAATGGCCTGTGGATGGTTGTCTATGGATCTTCAGAAGAATCTAATTTGGTTTCTTTTACCGACATTTCAGGTTCTACTGATGTCTCTGAAAACTGGTGGGGTGGGGCTGAATCTAACTGCTGCGTCAAATGTGTTTATAATGGTACAGTTCCCACAAATTCCACAGGGTCTTCCCATTTAGCTAAAACTATCCTCAAAACCTTTCATGGCTGACAAAGTTCTTATGTCGCAGGATCCATGGTGGAACCCTGCAGTTGAAGAACAGGCAATCATGAGAATTCACAGGATAGGACAAAAGAGAACTGTGAGAGTTAGAAGATTCATTGTCAAGGTGAAGTATATTCTAAATCCTTCCCCTTCAGATCTCTTACTTTTCAAATTAAGACAACCTCCCCCTAGCTTCTGGAATTCGTCAAAATTTGACACCTCCAAAAAATGAACCGTTCTTTGACCCTTTTTTAGCCTGTTTTTTCTGAAAATAAGTTGGCCACTTTAAACAGTCCGATTGTATATCTATAGTTAGGCATTGACCAAACTGATTAGGTACCCAATTTGAGAATGAGACCTTGCCAAGGTTTGACATTTCAGTACAACTGAGAGCTTTGTCTATGATATTATGTTCTTGTGGTGGTGTTGCCATTTTGGTTGTGGATGAAAGCGAAAGCGTTGATGCTAAACGAGAACGTGTATCAGGGCACAGTGGAGGAACGACTGCTGCAAGTTCAGGCCAAGAAGCAGAAGATGATTGCTGGAGCTCTTGCGGAGGATGATGTCCGGACTTCCAGGATTGAGGACCTCAAAATGCTCTTCAGATGAAAGTGTCCTACAAAAAGTCAGGGAGAGAAGTCATTTCATGCAACATTTTAGCAGTGTTTATAAGGGTTTAGGGTTAGGGTGGTGAGGGGAGGGTGCTTAGTAGTTATTTATGTGCATATGCTGTCCCTTTAGGTGATGATGCCTTACTTTCTGAGGAAAGATTAGGCGATTTTTGTATATGGATGTGATGAAGGCAAAAGCACAATTTTCATGCGGTAATTGGAGAAATTGTCTCCTCTTTCTGTTCCTTGCGCTTGGCAGTAACTTTGGGCTATTCAGTATTTCACTATTCAGCTTAACAACTACGCCCGGGAACTTGGAAGTAAGTGAACCGAACGAAGAATTGTGAATTATATTTCCTCACTCAAATCAAATCAACTCTACTTCTTTCTATTTCTTTCTTCCAAAATTCGGAATAAATCCTTCCTCAACAAGAACTAGGGACTGAGATTACGCACTCGATTTATAAGAAGATAATTTATGGGTTGTGGTGATGGACTTGTATTTATCATGAACTTTGAAAAAAGTTTATTGTTTGCTTGATGGAATTGGAGGGAGTAAATTCGTGGATCCTACGGATTTGGAAGTTCCACCTATAGAGGTGGGAAGTGGGTTATGGATTTAAATCCATGATGACATTTTACTAGTTTATCCCTACTTATTTTACCTAATGACTAATCTACCCTCCCTTCTCCCCCGGTGGCGGCCTCCAACTCTCTGTCCTCAGTTTTTCATGTAGAGCAATGAATGATAAAGGGACTCTCATGTTTGTTTCTCCTTGTCTCTTTCTTTTTTTGGGCTTGTTTAACATTAATTTCTCGCGTAAATTGTGAATTTCGAGATGAAATTTTGGATTAAGCGTGGTGCTCGAGTTTGATAAAAAAATCGGGACATTTTCAATTGTGGTTGAATTTCACATCTTCGTCTACTAAGTCTTCTATTTTCTCCTCTATTAATATTTCTAACACTTTATGCTCATCTTGTGCATTATTGCTGGATCGACAGTTGGATCCAAAAATTAGGGAGTTGTGTCATGTCCAAACTATTATGCATTTCTATATTTGTAATTGAACGAGTTCCCAAAGTAGAAGTTCAGTTACTTTGTATGCATTAGATTTGTTTTTAATGGAAATATAATTACATAAGGGTAACAAGGTAATTTGTATTTCATATCCACAAATCTAATCAAATAAAATCCATTATCAAATCCAACAAGCAAACAATAGACTTGTTCAAATCCATGATGCCACCAAATTCATCATATATCCATGGTTTTTCAAAACTCAGGTTTTATTAAAACCCTCATATTTCAAATCTATGAAGCAAACGACCCGTTAGTTACATAACCATGGATTGAGTTTACATACTCGATTTCAATGCAAACTATAAGCCAAATCAAATTTAATTAGTCATGTGGTAAAGGACAGAATGATCATTAAAGTATCTCCCCAATAAGTTTACTATGTCATGATTCATATTTTATAGGTAAATACAATTTAATATCAAAACCTTTCATTTTAAATAATATAATATCCAAACCTTTTCGAAAACAATCTAATATCCAAATCGTCAACTTTCCGATCGTTTGACCGTTAGTTGACACTTCAGAAAAGTTCGAAGTACGACGCTTCATCAATATCCATCGATATCTTCTCTAAAAAACCACCAACATATCGTGGTTCCAAACCCCAGAAGTCCATGACTCCACCATGTTGGTATAGAATATCTAAATATTCAGTCATCTGCAATGCCAAAACAAGAAAACAAAGTTTTATTGTGACAATTTCCCCTAAACAAAGCTTTTTTGAAATGTCAACCAACGGTCAAGCGGACGGAAAGTTGACGATATGGATATTAGATTGTTTTCGAAAGATTTGGCTATTATATTGTTTAAAATGAAAGATTTGGATATTAAATTGTATTTACCCTTCTTTTATATCCCTTACTCACCACCTTGTTTATATGTTTGGTTGCCATTATTTCTTCGGATATAGCTGGGTGCTACAGTAGTACTTTGCCTTAAAAACTCTAGCTAGTATTGAGTCTGGGTTTTGTATCAGTTCCAGACTTGTCTCCTAGTAAAGCTAGATTAAAGCCATGAAAGTTGTAGAAGCAAATTTCCCCTTATTCATTTGTCAAGCATAGTCTTTCCCTGTATCACTCTTACACTATGTTTCTTAGGAAACAATCCCACTGTACACACGTTCTTAAAAAAAATTCTCAAAATACATAAGTTATAAAAAAAATTACAAAACTACACATGTTTAGGCATCACCGTGTTCGACAAAGGCGGTGAAGACTATCACCGCTTTTAATAAAAACGGTGAACATTTCACCGTTTTAAATTAAAACGGTGATGCCTTCACCGCGTTTAATAAAAATGGTGAAGGCTTCACCGTTTTAAACTGAAACGGTGAAGTTATCACCGTTTTAGTTAAAAACGGTGAAGCCTTCACCGTTTTTATTAAACGCGGTGAAGGAGCTGACGTGGACAAACGCGGGGTATTCACCGCGTTAGACAAACACGGTGAATACCCCGTGTTTGTTTACGTCAGCGATCCGGGCCAATGTGCTTTCACCGTAGCCGTTGGATGCGGTGAGGCCCGGATCGTGGTTTTCTTCCCACGATCCGACGCCTCACAACACGCCACGTCCCCTCGACATACACCGCGTTTGTTGACAGCGGTGAGTTCACCGCGTTTGACTAACGCGGTGAAGGCGCTCCAATTGAATGCTGCGCAGGCGCCTCCCCCCTTCCCCCAACTATAAATACCCCCTTCCCCTTTCACTTTCAACTCACCCCACAAACATTTCACTTCTTTCTCCCTCAATTTATCCGCTCTAGTCTCGTTCTAAGTATGCTCTGTGGTTGCGGCTAAGTCCGATCTTCCACATCAGAAAGAATTACTAGAGTTTGACCCTAAAGCCCCCGTCCCTTACAAACCTAAAATCGTCGAACCTCTGTCCGGCCTACGCCAAAAAATGGACGAAGAGGCTCTTCGTGTAGGTTTTTGGTTTATGAATTTTTTTGAATCGAAACAATTTGATTTTTTGTTTTTTTATCAAAACAATCTCTGATTTCATTACTTTTTTATAGATGGGTGCCGAGATATACGATCCTCGATTGTATATCCATTATGGCCCAAGGGATGCGAGTCTCTTAACCGATCAAGAAGCTCATCGCTCCCGTGCTATTTGGGATAACTATCCGGTAATTTTTTTGAGTATTCTTGCTTTATTTTATTATTTTCTAAGGTTTTATTTTGCTTTATTTAATCTAATAAATTGTTATTTTCCCTATTTGTTTTAGGAATCGCTTGTTCCCGTGGTTCATAAAGGGACCAATAACTTGCCCGCTTGGCATCCAAGGTTGGAGCCCTACATAGCGAGGACCGGTTTGGGAATGTTGCGCCATTTCTTGCGGATCGAGATCGACAACGATCTGCTTACGGCAATGGCGGAACGATGGCGTCCCGAAACCCATACATTCCACCTTGCGGAGGGGGAAATGACGATCACCCTCAAAGACGTGGCGATCCTCACCGGGCTTCCTATTTCTGGAGATGCAATCATTGGTTCCACGACCAAACCCGAAGGAGGTTGGGGGCCGCTCATACGTGATCGTTTGGGCTTCGACATGCCGACCACCACACCAATTCAAGGACGGGGGCATCCACCGTTGAATGCGGGGCAAGTGTCGGTCCCGTGGCCGGTATCTCACATCCAGCAAGAGGTGGAAATCAATGACGAGACACCGGAAGAACAAGTCGAGCGCTACGCCCGCATCTACCTCATCGGTTTGGTGGGTGGATTTTTGTTCCCCGATAAGTCCAACCGGTGGATTCAAGGCATATGGTTGTCATTGCTCACTGGTGACTGGGATGCAATTGGAGAGAAGAGTTGGGGATCGGCCGTGCTAGCGGGCGTATACCGGGAGCTGTGTACTTGCTCGAAGGTTGGGGCAAAGCAAGCTGGTGCTGCGATGTTCATCCTGCAACTGTGGGTATGGGAGCATCTCCCGATGTTCGCACCTCCCGACCCACGTCCATACCGGAGAAACGATGATGAACTCAACTTTCTGCAAAATCTCCCCTACGGTGTCAAGTAAGTTTATTTCGTACTTAGCCCAATTTAATTTTGATTGTGTACTTAGCTAGATTTAAATTGAATTTATTCCGTACATAGCCCAATTTAATTTTGATTGCATGCTTAGCTAGATTTAAATTGAATTTATTCCGTACTTAGCCCAATTTAATTTTGATTGCATGCTTAGCTAGATTTTAATTTTATTTATTACGTACTTAGACCAATTTAATTTATTATATGCTTAGCTATATTTCAACTAAATTGAATCCGTACTTTTACTTACAAGGTGGATAGGAGCAAATACGAATGACCATCAACCTGAGCATTCGTTATTGTTTTATCGTTCTGAGTTAGATAAACCATGGTGGAATCAGGTAATCATATTTTGTCCATATTTGAACAAGTTAAATTTTGTCAATGTAAATGGTCATTAATTCCGAATTTTTTAATGAATATAGGTTATATGGGATCCATATCCACGTGAAGTGGGTGAGCTGCATCATCTTAGGCACCCTCTGGATCACGAGACGTGGTTGTGCAAAGTGCCATTGATCTGCTGGCACATGGTGGAATGGCACCTACCCGATCGATCTTATAGGCAATATCGAATGGAGCAACCAATTCCACAAGACCCGCCAGCCGGTTTCAGGGAGCTACATGCTATTGACCTCCGACACACTGCAAAGAACTGGGTGCTAAAGCATGGATTCTACATCAACATCTGGGAGAATCGGTCCCAATGGGTGGTGCAAGGGATGCCGGAGACGAGACCGATGGGCTACCACGATGGGTACATGCAGTGGTATCGGAAGTTCACCATGAGATGGGTGTCAAAGCAAGGTGCTGTGATGGGGTCGTTGGTAAGTCATCCTAATCTCCCTCATTCAAAAATCTATTTATTTTAAGGTTTAGTTAATTTGATAAGATAAGTGCTTTCCTTAGGTTGATGGTTTGGAACATGCCAAGTACACCCTCGAAAGTGCGCCAACCATGGATGAGCGGAAGACTAATTGGTTGACCCGACTTATGAACAACCTCCTGAGGTGCCTCACGAAATGCCACCTCATCCTCGTTATCATAAGTATCTTCCTCCTCCTCGCTCACTGATCTCAAATCTTCCTCAGTATCCTCGTCGCTCGACTCGAATGGATAGCTCGGGCTAGAAGGATCAACATGACCACGATCACCAACATCGTCCTCTCGCTCATGCGAAGTACGCCCTGATCTAATGTTATTCTCGATTTCAGACCACTCTGGCCCCCAAGCAGGCCATTCAACACCATCGGCTGGTTGAGGAGGTTGCGAGTATTTGTCCCATCCTGCACTACTCGATCCACCGTAGTTGATTGAACCACCACCCTCCCCGTAACCTCCTGTATAACCACCGCCTTGGTAGTTGCTCGAACTACCACCCCATTCGTACCCTCCTGCAAAACCATCATCATAAGAATACTGGTGAGAATGAGATTCACCGACCGCCTCGGTCTCAACATACACCTCTGCAAGCCGGACTTGGTTATCGCTTAGGAACTGTAACATCATAGTAACCGCGTCATCATCGTTTATGACAACTTCTTGGAACACGAGCCCGCCAGCACTCATGTCTGGATACCGGTAAGTAATTTTGCCAAGTCTCGTCTGTCCGCTCGTACAAACCCTTTCTGCAAAAAGATCACAGAGTTCTTGAAAATTGAATCGGGAATCAATTTTCAGCATAATGGATTCGCCGTCCTCATAATCAATGCCTATGTCAGAGTTTGTCACCCTTCCATTCCACCGAATAGTAAGATGAAACTTCTTGAATTTACCCATATCTACAAATCGAGGATAAGTATCTATTAGCTTAAAGACAGTAAAATTAACCAAAATCATATTGTACAACTAATATTATCCATTTCATAACTAACGAACATAAATTCAACTAACTAACAACAACATAATACGAAAATTAAATCATACTATAACTAACGAACATAAATTCAACTAACTAACAACAACATAATACGAAAATTTAATCATACTATAACTACTAAAAACATAATTAGACTATAATACGAAAAGAGACATACCAAAAAATGTCTGTTCTGTGTATTATGCTCGATTTATTTGCTGAAATTTGAAGAAGGGGGGAGTGGTAAGTTTTTTCTTCTGCTGGTGGGTTGGTATTTATAGGAAAATTTGCTACTATTCACCGTTTTTGTCAAACACGGTGAACACCATCACCGCGTTTGTCTCAAACGGTGAATACTAGGTAGGTGTGACCTAATTTTGACCTACCAGGGGTGGGAAACGTGGGAAACAATCACCGCTTTAGGCAACCACGGTGAATGTATTCACCGTTTTTAACTAAAACGGTGATGTATTCACCGTTGTTGACAAACGCGGTGAATACATCACCGTTTTAGATCAAGGCGGTGAATACGTCACCGTTTTAGTTTTAAACGGTGAAATATTCACCGTCTTTGTCAAACGCGGTGATTACCTTCACTTCGTTTGTCAAAAACGGTGAATGCCAAACATGTGTACTTTGGGAAAAATTTTTATAACTTATGTATTTTGGGAATTTTTTTTAAGAACGTGTGTACAGTGGGATTTTTTCCATGTTTCTTTGGGAAGGAAAATGAGGGGAGGGATAGAAATGGAAGGAAAGCATCAACTTCAAGAAACTTTCCCTTGTTTTTTAGATTCTGAATAGTATCAAGGTGAAGGAAAGTGGGAGGATAAGTTACTATTTAACCCAACCCTCCATTTTGGAGAGAAAGGCCATAAGGGAGAGAGAAGGCAAGTGGGTTTGGTTTTTATTTTCAATTCATTAATTTTTTATGGTCTCCTTTGTTTAAAGTAATTAAATTAATACTTAAGTAGGTTTTTTATGAACTTTTTTTTATTAATTGGATGTTGAGAGATTTGAGTGTGATATCAAGGATTACGGAATTTACCTCATACGTAACGTTGTTTTGCACGATACATAACACTGTTGTATAAGATATAAAAACTTGTTACGCTATTCTTACAATTTATGTATCTGTAATTTGTTGTATGTTTATATATTTAGTTGCTATGTTATTACTCAATAAAATAGTTAACAAAATTTTAGTAATAAGTTGACAAATTTCATTCAAATAACCAACTTTTGATTTGTTGTAGTTAACAAAATTAACAAAGAAGAACAAATTTGATCCACATTACATAATTAATGTAAATAGTATAAACACATAATTAAATTATTTAACTATTCTATCATCAAAAAAATATAATACATATCACAATTCCCAATCTACTTTTCCCCTCCCACTTTCCCTTCCACTTTCCTCCATTAAACAACATTTTCTTTCCAATTCCCTCTAATTTCCCTCCCTTCCAAACTTAACCTCCCCTCCAAATTTTCCTACCCTCCCCTCCTTTTCCTCCCTTCCTTCATGAACATAGTGTAAAGGAAAATTGAATAGGGAAAGTGAGATTCCCAATGCATTTTTCCTTGTGCATTTATGGGGAAAGTGAGTAAGGAAGGAATATTATCCCCCTGATACTATTCAACCCACTCCTCCAAATTGGAGAGAAAGAAGAGGGAATGAAGGGCATGTACACATGCATGTTCTTCTTTTTCTTTATTTTTAAATATTTGCCTAATAGTTAAGTTTCCAACCAATGCAGTCAAAAGCGCGATTCTACCTAAAAGCGGAAAATGAGTAAAATCGTAAAGCGTAAAAACGTAAGTTTTTGAAGCATACTGTAAAATAACAAAAAATGTGTTAAGTACGACATATATACTATGTAAAATATGAGTGCACATAATTTATATAAGTTAATAAATACATGCAATTCATTTCTAAAGTTGAGAAACTCATAACATCTTAACAATAAGTTCATAAACATATATCTAACAATAAGCTACCTTCCCCTCTATGCTAGTGAATTTGGGAATGGCCTAACTGGTGAATTAGATTACTCTATTGAAGTTAGAATACACTCAAGTACCTAATATGTATCTTTTAATCTCAAATATATCATTTTCTTTTTTGTGATTTATCTTTAAAATATACTTTCTATAATTATTTTCATGAGTAGAATACTCATTTACTTAGTGAACTAGAAGCGTAAAGCGTTTTGGTGAACCAAAAGCGTATGCTTTTAAGCTCTAAATCGCATTTTAGTCCCGATTTTATTCACTAAAGATTTTATATGGAAACAAAAACGTTTTGGGGACCTAGAAGCGTAAAACCGTAAGTGTAAGAGTTTTAAAACGCGATTTTGACTGCATTGTTTCCAACACAAAATAACATTAATTATTAATTCAATTGCTAACTTCATTATTATACAAGATTATTAACTTCACCCACTCTCTCACAATCCTTATTTGTTTTGTACTTAATCTCCTTTTTTAATAATTCCATACTTAATCTCCAAAATAAGATTAAGTGAGTCTTTTTAATTACTAGCATAAAAGTAATCAAATTAGTCCTGGTGACTTTTAGCCTTCATTATGCTTCCTAACAAAATTAATTAGTAACAAAGAAGTAGCCAAACAAAATTTATTTCAAAGCTTCTCCTTCTTTTATGGTATTCTTGAAAAAGAAAAGGCTATCATCAACAAAGAATAGATGGTATATAGAGGGTTCATGTCCATTCAGTATCCCCTCTTAAACTATTTTTCTAGTAACAGATTAAGGCTGAGAAAACGGTTGCGGTTTCGCGGTTAAACCGATAACCGCGCCGAAACCGCGCGGTTATTGGTTAACCGCAAACCGCATATTTTGCCTATTTTGCGGTCGCGGTTGGAGATATGGGCTGTTTTATGGTTTGCGGTTTAACCGCAACCGAAACCGCAAATCCATATAATCGCAAGGCTAACCGCGACCCAGACCCAGCCCATAATTGAACCCCAGCCCAGCCCAAAGTTGACCCCCAGCAGGCAGCAACCCAACCTCGACCCGGCCCCTCCCCCACTTCTCCCTGCCGTCGTTTTGATTTGACAAAACAAAAATCAAAAATCCCCTTCGACCCTTCGTTTCGTCCCTTCCCACTGGCAACTGAAAACCCTTCGAGTCGAGCTTCGACCCTTCCCATCTTCCCGCTGCGGTGCTGTGCCGCTGCCATCCGCCCGCCGCTGTCCCTGGCCGTCCGGCGTGTGCATTTGTGGATTGTGTTATTTGGATATGCAGACAGATGCAGGGGCTTGATGGAAGTGAAAATAAACAAAACAGTAGCTGCTGTGTTTTTTTCCATGAATTTTTTGCGGTTAGTTCGCCGTTAATTGTCGGTTAGATTGCTTAATGGCGGTTTCGTATACTGTTTCGGTTGTTGCGGTTTTTACAACCATAAACCGCGGTTCACTGCTAACCGCGTTCTGCGATTTTTGGTTAACCGCTAACCGTGAGGGACGCGGTCGCGGTTGGCTAATATGGGTGTTTTGCGGTTGCAGTTAACCGCAAATTGCGGTGCAGTTAACCGCAACCGCACCGTTTCCCACCCCTATAACAGATGATAGACCTTCTGGTGATAGGGGATCCCTTATCTCAAGCCTCTTGTGAGATGTACCAACTATGTATAA